TACATGGGAGGCACGGTATGAATATTCATTGATGATGATGATGATATTAAATAAGGTGATGGATCACGCCAACCTGATGTCTGAGAACAAGCAGAAATGAAAAAATAGCATATTAAATATCGTGAATAACATGTGCATCCAAAACTGGAATACCATTCCCATGGCAATGACCTTATGCATATGTTGAACATATGCATGCTATAGCTGTAATAAATTCCCCTAGAGCAAAAACATGGATTATTACAGCATTTTTTACCTGCACATATAGTGCCACAGGCAGAATTTAGCAATATGACAGCATTACATATATATGTAAAATAAATGCATAAGGTGACTAATCTGTACATTTGATAAGAATGCATTTTTAATAGCAGTGGAATGATTGAATTTTCATGTTCCGCTACTGCGGCACTGGTGCTTTAATAGGTTGAAGACCACTGGTTAATAACATCGCGACATTGCGTTTGAAACCAATTATATTTAAAGACGTGTGCTGTAATAAGAGAGTATATTATTTGACTATAAATGTCAACACAATTAATTGAAATCATATTCTGTACATGTGAGCATTTGTGAGCCTTCGAAATGTCATGTAGTCTTTATTTTTCCATTATATAATACGTATTCAGTGGTTGACCGTGGGCCTTTCACACAACACTGAGTGCATTAATTTAACATTCAAGTTTAACACAAGCCGGGTAATATACTTGTAATATACATGTATACATGATAATACTGGTAGGAACCCACTGGTTCAACCAGCCCACAGGGGATTATTGTGTCCGTCCGTCGTGAAGGGAGGGGCTGGGTGGGGAGGGAGGGGCTGGGTGGGGAGGGGAGGGTGGGGAGGGGCTGGGTGGGCAGGGGTGGGGCTGGGTGGAGGGTGGGAGGGGTGGGGCTGGGTGGGGAGTGGCTGGGTGGGGAGGGTGGGGCTGGGTGGGGAGGGGCTGGGTGGGGATGGTGGGGAGGGGCTGGGTGGGGAGGGTGGGGCTGGGTGGAGGGTGGGAGGGGTGGGGCTGGGTGGGGAGGGGCTGGTCACCCCGTGGTGCCCTTATAAAACTCAACCTTTAACCTACTCACGCCGGCTTGTGCCCGCCCTCACAGTCGGGCATATTTGCGGAATACACCACGCCGCCGTTGACCCTGGCCATTGACCGAGCAACCCAACGTTCCAACCAGCTCCCTCCGCAGGAATGTGTTACTTAGGGCCTGTTCAGCACGGTTGGCTACGTACGGCGCGAAAGAAGTTCAACATACATACAAAACATCAACAACAAAAACTGTACAAAAACTCATACGTTGACACGAAATATAAATAATAACAACAGTTTACAGCCCTTTGTCAATCCACTGGTGGATAAAGGCCTCCCCATGCCATGTTAGTCATGGGGGTTGTTTGACTCTACTTCACCACAATGGTCAGTGCATGTTGGTAAAGGGAGTGGCCAGGACTAGTTAAAAAAAATCACTCACCACTGCCGTTAGCTGTGTCCGGGAATCAAACTCAGGTCGCCGGGTTTATCGCTCATGGAAGTGAATAGTATGTCGTTTTAATGTGGTTTAAATTGTATTTATTCCGCATGTTGCATTTGACACCGGGATTCCTAGATTCGGAGCCCGCATAATTCGCTCCGCTGGATCGTTCGCTTCCTGGGGGGAGCCCGGGTACAAGCGAGGCTTGAAACATGAACGCTGATGCATTGCGTGCCATCCCGGTTGAACAATGAAGACCATGTTAGATCCAGTTGTATCTTGTTAGCACAGCAATGTTTATCCATTGTAGAGTTTTTTTTGGGTTATATCGCATAAAATATAAATGTCTCGTTTAAACAGCCACTACCCAACACAGACGATTAAATGTATCGTTTACAAATCAGGCTTGACTGTCGGTTGATGAGGCTGGCTATTGTAATTACCAGCGAAACGTCGTACTCGAATTGTAAATGTTGTGGGTTCAGTCTCCAACACACCGCTGTGCAGAACTAGTAACGAATTGGCACGTTTTGTTCACGTGACAAACCTTACTAATTGGCTGTGTCGGGTGGTGGGATTAACGACACATTTATATTTATGCGATCTAACCCAAAAAACCTCTATTGTGGATAATCTTAATCGCGAAAGCCTACATGTCAAACAAAGTAATTTTTGTTTGGTATTGCATCATTATTTCACAGAACCTGCTTTTGCAACTTGGCTACTTCCGTATATTTGAAATATATTTAGACATAATAGAAATGCACTTTATGAGCCACTGTTGCAAAATACTGTCGAGTCGAGTAGGACATTCGTTACGGAAATAAATAAGGTTGTGGCTGGCGTCAGATTAATTATCCATCTGTCATTCTCTTATCTGAAACTTCCACCCTCCTTGCAGCCATGGCTGCCCACTCGACCACCCACTCACCCAACCACAAGCCACGCCAATCCATGCATTGCCAAGCCACTCTCAAAAGTAAACGCTTCCCCTCCTGGTTATCAGACAGCAGCTGTCTGAACTGCAATTGAATTGATTGCCGTGCAAACTTTGGCGGCGTCAAGCGTGAGACAAACGGATGGAGGAAGTTCAGTGATTTCCCTCTGCTGCTTGGTCGCCAACAATGATTTGCAACTGGCATCAAGCGAGAGCAATTAGGATTAACGGTACAGTACAACTGTAGTCCAAAGTTCACTTTTACCTGCAGTTGTTTGTACTCATGTTTATGTAATGGTCTCCCTTGGAAAATGTGATTTCAGGTCGCTGTGGGCTCTTAACCGGTTATAAATTAAGGCCATTTATGCATTTCTGGCAGTTTTTGTTTTCCATTTTCAATTATATGCAGGTTATATTATTACAGGGTGCAGCAAAAAACACAAATGCTGTTTGCTCGTGAAAAGGACTGGTACCCACGTTTTAGCACAACACAACTGTCAGCAATAAACTGCGTATACAACTTTACCGATGCCAGTATCTGCCGATAGGTCATGTACAGGCCTTATTTTAATACACTGATGGATGATGACCTCTCCACACCGTGCAGGTTACGGGAGTTATCTGGCCACGATGCACCACCGCTGTGGCCACGATTACTCCAAGTTTTGTGGCACAGCTATTCTCCTATGCACTGCACGTTGAGATACAAGCCTTTGCTCGGCAAAACCGCCCTAAAGAAATTTCTGAAGTTTTTTTTTCTCTCTTTATTTTAGATTGCACACATTTGCCACTAAAGAATGTGCGGTAGTTCAAACAGTGTTGTGATTGCTTATAAAGGAAATAAGGTCGGAAGAAGTCAAGAGGAAAAAAAAACATTCTATCACAGGGGGCTTTTGTTTGAGGAGCTCACTCAAGCTGATTGTAATGAGACCCAGCATCCGGAAAAAGTGAGGAAGGACCTCTTGGGTAAGTGCGTAAGGCATGTCTGTGTGTGTGTCTGTGTGTGTGTCTGTGTGTGTGTTTCTGTGTGTGTTGGGGGAGCGGGTAGTGCAGTGATTAGCGCGCTGTGCTATGAACCCGGGGACCCGAGTTCAATTCCCGCTCACGGCCAAACACCAGTGACGATTATATGAACCGGTTCTGAGCCTCCCCTAGGTCGACTCAGCCTCAAATGAGTACCTAGTGCGGTGTATAGTAAATATCGCCACTCGGGAGACAAAGGCGGTCGGGCGTGGTGCTGGCCACCCACCCCTCTCGTGGACGTTCCGGCCTTCATAGGTGCTCGCTAACAGCACTTTCCCCAACAGTCTGTTCAGGCTACACGGGGGATCTTTGTCGTTGTTTTTATGGTGGGCAAGTGGGTGCATGGCAGCGTAGGTGTAGCGGTTAGGGCTCTGCGCTACGGCCAGCACCAGGGACGATTATCTGAACTGGTTCTGGACCTCCCCTAGGTCTACTCAGCCTCAAATGACTACCTGGTGCGTTGTGTAGACATCGCCACTAGGGGCATAGTGCTGACCACTCACCCCTAGGTGTGCCGTGCTCGCTCACAGCACTTGACCCAACAATCTGAAAAGGCTACACGGGGTGGGGGGTCTTTGTCTTTGCATGGCAGCAGAGTTGGTTGCACACTGGCAACCCGAGTTCGATTCCTAACCACGGCTATCGTCCAACATCGGTGGCGAGTCAATTCGCAGTCGGTCCTGGGTTTTCCAACATCGGCGGAACTCACCCTTAAACGAGTACCTGCTACTATGTGTAAATATCAACACGTGGGAGACAAAGGCGGCCGGGGGGTTTTGTTGGTCGCCTACTCCCACGCGTGCTACGCCGACCTTCATAGGTGTTCACTGACAGGTTATACGGGGCGGGGGGGGGGGGTCTTTGTACCATTTAAGGTGTCGTATCCCACGAGTCTCACATACACAACACGCATGAATCCCAGTGCGTCCACACATGCACACATGCATATGCACGGTTGCTCATACTTTGCTCCACGGCATGGCTTATCCGTACAATATTTCTGCACAACCTGCAGGTAAAACCGTACACACATGTGCCCCCCCTCCCCCACGAAGCGGAATTACTGCAGGCTAACGTGCACGCAGACTGCGGCCACACACCAAGGTGCACCAATTCTAGATTTGAAGCTTTCGTGACTGCAAGGATTCATACTCTTAGTTTTTTCGGTAAAGTCACGTAGGTAAAAAATGAAATAAAAATTAATAAAAATAAATCAATAAAATCACGACGTTTCGGAGGCAACACATCTCTTGATACAGATATTTTGCTGTGACAGTTTCACCTGAAGACGGAAGCTTGTGTTGCTTCCGAAACGTCGTGATTTTATTGTTTTATTTTTTATTAATTTTTATTTCATTTTTTACCTACGTGACTTTACCGAAAGAACTAAGGTGCACCAACCCGAACTCCCACCACACACGCACACGCGCACATACACAGTTGGCAAACACCCGTAACATACACGCACACACACCCACAGCAAACACGTGCACACATCACCTCGCATCACACACACACGCACACACGAACACACCTCCAGACCTTGGCAAATAATTGCGCAGTGGCACTTACATATAAGGGCAAATATCTGGAAGCGCTCTTTTGTGTTATAATTGAGCGGGCGGCTGCATATAAACTTCCCATCGTGGCCAAAGTCTTGGATTTAGTGGAGGGAAACTCGTCGTCTGCGGGTTCTTTGCAAGGTATGTTGTGTGTGTGTGCGTGCGTGGGGAGCGGTGGCGGAGCGGTTAGCGCACTGCCCTGCAAACCCAGCGATCCGAGTTCGATTCCCGCTCACGGCCAACACCGGTGGCGGTTATCTGAACCGGTCCCGGGCCTCCCCTAGGTCGACTCAGCCTCAAATTAGTAGCTTGTGCGTTGTGTGTAGAACTTCGCCACTGGGGAGATAAAGGCGACCGGGCGTGGTGCTGGCCACCCACCCCCTCGTGGTGCCGTGCCGGCTTTCATAGGTGCTACTCGCTAACAGCACTTGCCCCAACAGTCTGTTATATTCTATACGGGGGATCTTTGTTTTGTGTTTACTACAAACGGAGCGGTGGTTTGCCAACCACAAGATGTGATAGTCATGACATTTTCGTAAATGTCAATACAGTGCGTCACAGGAGAGTCTGACCTTAACTCTAACGCTGTTCTTTTTTTCCCCGTTAACGAAGCTTCAAATTTGTGTCAGATATCACGAGATGCGCTGCCGAGGTTGATGTCTACAAAATGAACACGTGCTTCTCTGAGTTGTGTCCACATGTTAATCTGTCAAGATAATCTGTCACGATTATTATTCTGTGCTGGGTACAAATTTTTTTTCACGTTATGACTTAAAATGTTGGCAGCTTAAGTACACTGCCGAAATAAATAGCATTTGTTTTAACACTGCAAAGTTCATTCAACAAAAATAATAGACTTCCGATTCGTCGTGTGAAGAAGGTGAACTCAGAGTTTTGTTCACGAGACCACGAGGGCGGTCCGGGGTCCGATGTTTTCCAACACCACTGGTTTCAGAAGAATACTCTGCAAACTTTGCTTTTTCCTCGGAATATATAATTTCAGAACAACCATACGTGGGATAGTCTCGTTATTTTAGATTTTGTTTACTTGATACGGCGACACAAAACCTCATGCATTTTTTTAGTTTTCAAAGTTACCGCGCGTCAAATTGAATTCCAATAATTGAGAGTTTGTGTGCAAACTGGGCTAATCTCTTATGGACGTGCAGCTCTTGAAATTGGGTTGACTCTCGAAGCATTAGGGGATTAACAATAATCATCGACTTCATTTAAAATCCAGTTGAGGGAATCACACTTAAGCAATTGTAACGTTTGGAAAGGAGATCTTGGATACGAAGCAAACCCGAACAAATCCCGAAACAGTGCTATGAACTGGCCGTTTGAGCCTCCCACGTTGATATGAATCTTGCACGAAATGTGCTTAGTTTAATATCATACTCATGATATTCTACTAATTCACTGCGGATGTCGTCTGGAGGTCGATTTCGTGCAGGATCTGTCATGGTGATTCCCAGGCACCCGATGTGTTAATCAATGCGTATATACACGACGAGTGGTTATAATTACAAATATTAATGACAAAAGTAAAGCTATGGTTTGCCCTGCATTGTGATAGATCACAGTCCCCACGTGCCACTGTATATCTGGTGACATCTGACACTTATTAATATAGATATTTACAAAAAATGTTATTGTCGATAAAAAAAGAACGCACAGTTGTGGGTCATGGGAGATTTTTGACCATACTTCACCATTCTGAACAATGCGGGTTGATAAAGAGAGTGCACAGGATCGGTTTAAATATCATTCGCCCAGGCTGATTGTCAGTGGTGGGCAGGAATCAAACTGCAGCTTGGCAGATTCGTAGCGCATTAGGTATGCAAACCGTGGCACTGCTGTTTGCCCCCTACAAAAAGTAGCTAACACCAGATTATATTGTATTCACATTGTGTGCGCGCGTGTGTTTATATATGTATCATACATATTCAATTACTGCCGCTTCAGGCAAAACGAAACATGGAAATTCAATAGAAGATGCAAACATCAATCTTCTGAAATGGAGCGGAATATATTCATGTTTAACATCAGCGAGAGCTGTGGGCAAAAATAATCATCGCAATTACATTTACGTGTTAATGAAATGTAATTGAAGATTTATACGTCCACTAACAGGGTAGATAACGACCTATCGGCCAAACGAGATTATTTCCTTTTCGTGACTTTAAACAACCTCTGCGGTATGTAATTTCATTGACATGTTCTTCAGTGTATATATCACTACAGCAGGGCATTGAAGGTTCATTTAAAACTAGCTTATGTTTTTTTTATCATCCACAAACTGCATCTATTCTCAACATCAACCATGAACACATTATACTGTTACTATTCAGACACGTATTTTTCACTATGTGGTTGCAAATGTTATTTTTTCCAAAAGTATAATTACGTGACAATTCTTTAACATATAAAATACATCATTACAAAGCTCGTGTTGCGTTTAACGTCTTTCTATTCATTCAAATCACGACGTCTCAGATTTCCTTTGCAAAAGTGGCAATGTTGTTTAATGCGTTTCAAACCAGGTGATTTGACCGCCTGGTTAAATAAAATACACTGATTCGGGGGGGTGTGCATGCACCTCCAGGCAAGCAGCTGAGTTCGCCAACGTTACACAATACACATTCAACGATTCACAATAAAGGGATTTTTTAAATAGACTTTTGTATCATAGTATAAAAAGGGGCTTTACAGTTCACCATGTGGTTGGAACCGTTGGACCAAACGTTGGCTGAACGTTCCATGTTTACTGGGTTACTGTGAATGGATGATGTTTGCCACATGCATACGGTATGTACTGTATGTCAAAAAAACACACAGTTAAGAGAGAAAGCGTGTTTATCCCAGTAAAAATAATAGTGTAGTACGTCATCCTATTGGCGTTCTGTTGATGCAAGAAAACTCTCCGACACGCGTTGCGTGTCTGGGTGTCATCAGCAGTCATGTACGTGAAAGTAAATGGCACCGTGAGCAAATGTTGAAGACAGAGCGCTTCTCTTCAAATGTTGGGGCCTGTTCAGCACCGAAGATCAACATACACGCAAAACAGAAAAGCAACTGTACAAAAACTCACTATACGTTGACGCGAAAAACAAATAGTAACAATAGTTTACAGACTCACACAGAGACAAACAGAGAGAGACACACACAGTGAGTTTCTCTCTCTGCTTGTGTGTCTGTCTGTGTGTCTCCCTGTCTGTGTTTTGTCTCTCTCTCAAATTTAGCAATCTTTGGAAGAACGTAATCAACCAGGTAGGGTGTTGACTGTTGTGTTGGCCGACTCTCTGTGTTGTATTGCATTCTATTTCTAAGTTTACTATGTTTGTTTTCTCATTCATTTGTAACCTGATGATGGTTGCTTGTGTTGCAATCGAAACGTCGTATGCGATTATTATTTAATTTAATTTCTTTCTACGTGACTTTACCGAAAGAACCAAAGAGTAATCCCTGCAGTCACGAAAGCTTCGAACCTGTCCGATGAAGGCTTCCTCACGCGATCTAGATCGTGGTTGTCGTTTCACCATACGTTCACCATTTTGGTCAGAATTGGTTGGTGAAAGGGGTGATCAGGGCCATTTCAGGCGAACCGGGTTCGATTCCCGCTCACGGCCAACACCCAGTGACGGGCCTCCCCTAGGTCGACTCAGCCTCAAATGAGTACCTGTTGTAGTGTGTAAACATCGCCACCGGGGAGACAAAGGCGGTCGGGCGTGGTGCTGGCCACCCATCCCCTCCGTGTACCGTTCCGGCCTTCATCGGTGTTCGATAACAGCACTTGCCCCTAAAGTCAGTTGAGCCTATACGGGGGACCTTTGTCTGTGTGTGTGTGTGTCCGGGCATTGCCTGGTCGCGCTTCACGGATGAAAGGGTCAACGCTTTTGACGTCTCGGGCCCTGCACGAAATGGTCTTAATGGCAGGGTGAGGCGCGGCGTGGCCCCCATGCCGTGCTCATTAGGGACTGATTAGGAGGGAGGCACCCGGGGTCACTGCGTACTAATGCACGGACGCAACCTGCTCATGGACACACGACCTCATCGGGACGTACGTATGTATGTTGAACTTTTTTCCCACCGTACATAGCCAACCGTGCTAATCGGAGGTGCGGGGGAGGAGGAAAACACTGAACGCAAAAAGCACTTCTAAAGAAATGAGTTTCTTGAATTTCGATTTCAAAGTGCATAGCTCCCAGTGGATTTCTAATATCGAAAGGAAGAGCGTTCCAGACGGCCACCACGGTGAGGATGAGCGGAGTTCGCGTGATGGTTTATGCTCCTTGACGAAATCTTTATCTCCAACTGCCACGCCAAGCATACAAATATATCTATTGATTTCAAATACAATTTGAAGCATCTTTATCACTCCACTACTAGTTGAGGTCCTCACCATGCCGTGTTGGTTGTGGGTATTGTTGAACCACCATTGTGAATTTGGGGCGGTGAAGGAGAGGGCACACCACGGCTGGTTTAGATATGACACGAGGTCTTGGCTGCCGTTCTTTGCGCGAGAAGCTCTAAATTAACCATGTCACTGGCCACTGATGTTTATCGTATCTGGAAAGAGGCTTGGGTCACCCGATTCACCCCATATATATATACACACATATTTTGTGAAGGTTGGACAGCTAGCATACGCTGGATTTGCAAGGCTATAGAATTGCAATTGTTGTGCACGTGTGTTATCGGTTTCAGTGTCAGTATCCGAGCGTGATAAAAACTAACAAACATATCTTTTTTTTGCATTAGGGAAATGTGTGCAAGAAGGCAAATGGCATTTTTAAAAATATTAAACGTCAGAATTTAACGTCAGAAAACCACGCGCTGTCAGCAGAAATGTAGTGATTCCCCAAGTGAGCAATTAAAATATATTCTTATGCCACTATATATACGTAAAAGTTGTGCGTAAGAATCAACTATTTAGAATGTATGTAAATGATATGCTGATGTTACTCTCAGGCTAATGGAGCGAGACAGAACAAACGAGACTTAGCATACGAGATGAACAATGCAAGAGAGACGCAAAAAAAATATTTGAATAAAACCATGACCGTGAATTGTGACCAGGAATCGTGACAGCTTAATTATGGCAGAGGTGAATAGAGTACTAGTTAAATGGTCGTCTGTCACAGGATAGTGATGCAAAGCTCACATATGCATAAACAAAGGCTTACGTGTTCACACAGTTGCAGTTCCACAGCTATTGTTAGTGTCATCCAGGTTAGTCCCTTCAGAGGCTCATGTCATGAGCATTTAGCAAGAGGCTTTATGTATTTTCGTCTTCTTGAGTGTTCTGCCTAAAGACAGGTTCTTGGACCGAGTCTTCTGAATACAATTAATTGTTTTTACTCTATGGGAACCTCATTTGCCAGTAAAATATGATAATTGGTTTTTTACCCTTCTATTTGGCAACAAAACTGACACCTTTTTACAAGGAGTCATGTTTGCATAGACCGCAATACCTGCAGTCATAATACAAACAAAAGAACATAACTCTGAGTTATGTTTTTTTGTTTGCATTGACTTCAGGTATTGCGGTCTATGCAAACATGATTCCTTGTAAAAAGGTGTCCGTTTTGTTGCCAGATAGAAGGGTAAAAACCAATTATCATTATTGTTTTTAATTAAGTATTTTTTTTGGGTGCAAAGCAAGATCGGCCTGGGTTCGATTCCCAACTCGGGTGTGTTGAGCGTGCATGTTCTCCCCCTGTACTGCATGGGTTTCCAATGTGTTCTCTGGTTTCCTCTAAAAGTTCAAACACGTACAATGTAACCGGTATTGGCCAAACACCCCAATGCTGATGAAATTACCAGTAAATTACTCAATTGGGCTTACACATAGCAACATTTCCCTCTAAAACTTGGCAGGACCCTCCTGAAAAAAAACACAGTCTTGAGGCTTTCCTGCGTAATGATGTTCGGTGCCGTTAAGTTGACCATGAAGTGAAAGTTGCATTTTTTTCGTTTACGTTTCACTCGCGTGAGTTGTCAAAGTTCACTTGTCAACACTGCTCCAATTCTGCAATATTTTCTGTCCCAACCGTTGCTGACGTGTTGAAAATTAAGTGAAGCTTCAGCAATTAAAAAAAAAAGATTGTGAAGTCAGATGAAAGAAACAAACCTTTAGGATAGCGTCGTGTAAACCAACATTGTTGAGCTGATTGCAGAAATCAGTCCTGTGAATACAGTACTCTATGGAGCAGTGATTACAGGACGTTTTCAGACAGTGGGTAATCATGTAGGGTAGTGCTCTACCGTGAAAGCAGTTTGTTGAGAGATTCACATATAAATACTAGCCATTGTCTGTTTGGTAAGTTTGGATGTTGACCTTCTTGTCCAACATGCGTAGCAACCGCGAAAATCGGAGGTGCGGGGTTCAGGGGTATTTCACAGATATATTTAAATTGGACATCTCAGATATGCGATAACTTTTTTTGTAACACTTTTTATTTTATTTACCACCCTTTATCAATTCACTTCTGAATGGAGGCCTCGCCGTGTCTCTCGGTTACGGCGGCTGTTTGAATTTACATCAACACACTTGGTCATTGCGGGCTGGTGAAGTGGGGTAGTAGGTCCGTGTGGGTCCGGTTTCAGACATCACTTTTCCACTGGGCCTGGAATCAAGCTCAAGTCTCTGGGTTCAGGGTGCGGTGGTGGAAACCACTGCACCACAGTTCCCACCGGAAGAAACACGTGACAGGAGTCCACATTTGATCCTTATGGCGGTATCCCGGGGTACCAAATAATACTAAATGGCCGAGACAATTACATGTTTTATTCCTGGGACACTTTTTTCTCCCAGGGGTATACTTAACTCCACAACTGGGGTACCAATCAATCCAACATCAGTGCTAGTCCGCGATGTCGAAACGCAGCGAGTACGATTGCGCTGAGACCCTGAGCGCTCATACGCACTGTAGCGGTGCATCGTGTACAGCTCGTCGAGATGAGTCGATTGCCGCATCGCCGACCATCAACAGACTAAAAATGACTGCATCACGGACATCATGCGAGAGCCGGGGTAATATGGTACCCCGGGGAACCGCCATAAGGTGAATTTAATAACATTCACTGCCAGATAAACAAGATCGCATCCATTGATTCCTGTGAGACTGCCACACATTTTCGGTGGTATGTGATGCCTTAATAAGAGGATCGTATACAAACAATATTGCTGATTTTTATTTAAATCAGATATACGTATTGCTGTTTTTTTAGGACTCTCTTCAGATAGCCAATTTTGAAAGATCAGCACAAGCACTGGAATTTATAAGTGTAGGGAGAGGGTTGTTCAGCATACGACAAACAGCAACCGCAGGCCATGATGGCCTTACTATACTGAATAGGGAGAAAACCAGTATTGTTGTCTTAGCTCAGCCTAAAAGGCCAATCGCTCAACATACACGGTGCTGTCACCTTGGTGTGCAATGCACACTGAGACCTTTTTGTGTGTTACAGTCTCCATATCCACTTTCTGCTACCAACAGTAGTGCATGTTGTACTGTGCTATGATCCTACACGTGCCCCGGCTTCACCAACCCACGCTACCTGGCGTTGTGAGGTTTGGTGAAATGACTCCCACAACTTTCACGGCACGGGCAGGTCCTCACCCAGCAGCGTGTTGACAAAATGGCTCTCTCAACATTTGCACTCATATTCTTGGTTCTTTCGGTAAAGTCACGTAGAAGGGAAATAATAAAATAATAAAAATGAAACATAATAAAATAATTCTCACGACGTTTCGGCCACAACGCAAGCAGCCGTCCTCAGGTGAAGAACTGTCTTTACCGAAAAAACCAAGAAGATGAATCCCTGCAGTCACGAAAGATTTAAATCGAAATATAACTGGGTTTGGTCAATAATGGAGATAATCTCAACACGGTAACTCACGTAGAAGGGAAATAATAAAATAATAAAAAATAAAACAATAAAATACAACATAATGAAATACAAAAACACAATTGTATTTTATTATGTTTTATTTTTATTATTTTATTATTTCCCTTCTACGTGACTTTACCGAAAGAACCAAGAAGATGAATCTGCGCAGTCACGAAAGCTTGAAATCGAAATTTGCACTCATAAGTACGGGCCGTTACGTTTTCGGGGTTGTTGCTGTACAGCTGTCTGATGTGTTTTTTTGGGTCGGCGCATTGCCCGACGTTTCGCTCTGCGTGCCGGAAGGCTTCACCAGAAACGGCATCGCTCTCGTGCCGTTGACGTGAGCCGTGGCTGTGAATGAACCTTTGATCGCCTGGCTCACATTCAAGAGTTGCGAAGAGCTGGCGTGGACATTGATGACATCAACAAGCGAACGATATTGTCTCCTTCATATGGATATCTCTCCAAAAAAACTATTTTTTTAAACAACCCATCGGCCCAACAGCATTCAGGGAGTGCACAATTTCAGCAGCATTGAGTCAGTACAAGCAAACTCTGGCTCATTAGCAGTCAGGCTTGGTCGAATCAATCTGGTTAAAGTGTCAGATGTTACAGGCAAAATATGGGTCCTAGTTCGACTGGACATCTGTGAAAAAGAGCTCTATGTCTCATCGGATTCCTCCAGGATGAATCAATATCCATGTATGACACGGGCGATTTTTCCACGATAGGGCTGAACAAACTGGGTCACCTGTGCGTGCGAGGAGCGAGTGAACCGCAGGTGGACTGAGCGAACGCGGACTGCTCGCGACATGCGAGCAACGTGCACGCACCCAGAGCATCGCGCTCTGCTCCCGCTGCTGCCACCGCTGCTGCTGCCACCGCTGCTGCTGCTGGTGGTGGTGGCGGTGGCTCCGTGTGGGGCGAGCGCAGTGGAGGGATGCGCTCGAGGCTGCGCGTGCGAGGCGGGCGAGGCGGGCGCCAGCGCTCGGTGCTTCCGACTGAGCAGCGTCCCGAGCGAGCTACCCGCGGGCGTGCGGCGACTCGAGTTGCAGCACAACAGCATCCGTCGCTTGCAGGCAAGGAGCAGGGTGGACGGGTGGAGGGGGGGGGGTCTCTCCGATGGTGTTTTCCAGCAGTGCCTTGGAGGTGCCATTAATACCAAAGGCTCCAGCATCACCGACATCACCGTTAACCACTAACAAGAACAGCGTTAGTAGCAGCAGATGCTGCTGCGTTTGCACACGCAACAATGCCAGCACTATCATTAACGCGGCCGGTTCTAGCAGCACCATCATCATCATTGACACGGTTAACCACTAACTCTATAACAGGAGCATCGTTCACACACCCACCTGTGCCATCAACGTTATTAATACCACTGGCCACTTGCATTAACACCATCGTCATCATTAAAAATACCTCCAGCACCATTATTCACATCATCATAATGAAAACCTCTATCATGAATGTGCCCCAGCAGAACCAGTAGCAGCATTATCACCCATTTCACCAACCCGCTCTGACCAGTGTGGTGAAGTATGTTCAAACAGCCACTACGACCAAAAGTCCATAAATGACGTCACGCACCTAGGGGGGGGGGGGGGTCAGACATTTGTGACGATGTGTGACGAGGGGGGGGGGGGAGTTTGAGAAATGTGACGTCACATCAAAATGCGCAACTTTAAATAAATATAGACACAACACGTTCTACTTAATTAAATAGACTTTTTAATAAATGTTTTCTCCTACAACATCAGAAGCTATTATAGCTTTCACCTACCTTAGCTTTATTATGTTGGGAAGGGGTCAAGGAGGGTAACCCCGCACACGAGCATCCTTCGTTAGCGGATGATTGGTTCGCTAATGAAGACACAGAACCACAGGATGCAAGCACCTGAGTACCGCTGACAATGTGAGCGGAGACGCTGTCAAGACACATTCGTGCAGCGGCTGATTGATTTGTCCTTTGACTTGTTTGGCTCGGGACCGCCGGCAAACAATCGCCCACCCCCCCCCGCTCACCCCCATCATTGCGCAAGCGATTGGTGGGGCCGCCCAGGTGCAGGATGTTTACTGTGGAGCATTCCCTTCTACGGTCAGGGTGGGGGTGTGCAGAGCGGGGTGGGTCATGCGAGGTCACAGGGACCCCAGCCCCGCCCCCCTTCTTCACCCACCTCTGACACGACGAGCCAGCGACGTTCATTCTTTCGTCCGTGCCACTGAATTGTGACCGATTGGGTCTCGTTGGTCCCGCGTTCATTTGCAACACGTTTGAACGACGATGCGTGCTCGCGTTAACGACAGCTCATCATCGACTGGACCGTGTCTTCCCCCCCCCACCCAATCCTTTTGCGCGTGCATCGATCGCCTTGTGTTTATACGTTTGTTGAACACGTGGCGTCGCCTCCTTGTTAATCCGGCCGTTGACAACGGCCCGCTCGAAAATTGCCCCAGTTCAGGCCCCTAAGGGTTCCCAAGCAGACGGTTTCTGCAAAGGCGCCTGCATTGTGAGCAAAGTTGGTTTCATCTCGTGTCACCTCGTCTTAGTGTTTTAATCAAGAGTGCTGCATGTTGCTGGCCGCGTAGTGTTTTGGGGACCTTTGGGTTGATTGCATGCCAGCGTGTTTCTGTTTTTAATCTGTAACGGTGTGGAATGATTGCTGGGTAAGGATAAGGATTCTCACTTAAATGTCACAGTATTTCTAAAGCTCTATACCAGTGGTTCTTAACCTTATTGGAGGTACCGAACCCCACCAGTTTCATATGCGCATTCACCGAACCCTTATTAATTGGAAAAATAAATATGATTTTTTCAAATTCAAAACATAGGTGTATATGTTTTACTGGTGCACAATCATATGAGTCAGGTGTGTGTCTTAACCTCCGCCGAACCCCTGAGACTGACTCACCGAACCCCTGGGGTTCGATCGAACCCAGGTTAAGAACCACTGCTCTATACACATATAACCCACCCTCTTCGCCCACAAATTTCAAAAATGTATAAATTCACTAGGACAAAGGGAAAAGAGAGAGGTAAAAAATATAAAACGGAAAAAAAATATCTCACGGCCATTGCAGAAAGATAAACGATGACCCACACGGAAACGCCGCGACAATCACCAAAAAGCCATGCCCCAGCAAGTCTCTAAACAAAATGAGAAAGTCCGGCATGACAGAACAACAAGTATAACCCGTAAAAACAAAGTTTTTCACTATAAATCCTTTATATGCGTGGCGGCTAGAGTCCTCTCGTCCTCTGGCTTGAGATGGCTGCCACCTATGGGTCAGATGATTGCATTGCACCATTAAGCAATTGGTAATTAAATATAATATTTTTGTCCTAAAAAGTGTAAAATTTTGGGGAAAAAATTTCACGAACATTAATTGTCACGTACAACGAGTCTGTGTGCAAAATGTCAGCTCGATTGGATCACGGGAAGTGGGTTAAAAAACGACCGAAAGATTTGCACGGCCGTAAGCAAGCAAGCAAGCAAGTGAACTTAATATAAAGGATTTTAAAATAGCTGATCCAGTCCCTCATCCAGGCACCTCACGAAATCACCACCATCAACCTTCACCAAGCACCAATGCAGCACAGAAGTAATGCAGTTTAACACGTAGTATGCTTTCGCGAACCAATATCATCCATAATAGAGGTTTTTGGGTTAGATCACGTACATATATGAATGTGTCGTTAAAACCCGCCACCACCCGACACAGCCAACTAGTAAGGGCTGTCACGTAAACACAACATGCCAATTCGTCACTAGTACAACACTAGTGTATATTGTAGTGTATAGTGTAGTGTATAGTGTAGTTTACTAGTACAGCAACACCGGTGTGTTGGAAAGCCAAGCCCAAACATTTACAATGTGAGTACGACGTTTCGCCAGTAATTACAACTAGCTTCATTAGGCGACAGCCAGATGAAGTAATGTAGTCACGACAGGCAACCGGCCGCGAAAGACCCCACGCTGAAAGACTAACGGGGGCACATCTGTGGGTCAAGAAGCCAGGCGTGGGGGCCAGGAGACAGTGTGGAGACCAGGTCAGAGACAGGGCAAAACAAAAACCTCTCTAATATGCCGTGTCCTTTCTCGAACACGTCCGCTATCATATTTTCACCCGCGAAATTTCCTATTCCGGAACGTATCCCTCGCGAATAACGAGAAATGGTAGTATATCCCCTGTGAGGGCGTGTGTGTACGAGTATGTTGACCCCAGTGCCTCTCTACAAATCGGCTCTAATGAGCACGGCATGGGGGCCTTGCCGTTCCTTGCCTGCCCATTATGGCCATGTTGTGAGAGCTTGCTCGCAGGATCGCGAGAGATGGCAGCGGCTTCATCGGCCATGGCTCATGACGACGACGATGATGGGGAATTATTTATGTTATTGCTGTAAAAACAGCAGTATTCTTTGCCCGTCTTTCTCCCGTTAATCTCCCCCGCCTTTCTCCCCTGTCCATCTGCCCTGTTCCATCTCCCCCGTCTTTCTCCCCTTGCCGTTCATCTCCCCTGCGCACACAGCCGTCCGACTTCCGCTCGTTTCCCACACTCGAGTCGCTCTTCCTGTCGTCGTGCGGCATCGAGCTCGTGGAGGACGGCGCCTTCCTGCCGCTGCGCTCGCTGCGCACGCTCGACCTCGCCGGCAACCGCTTGCAGGCCGTGCCGCGCCGACTCCCGCCGGGCCTCGACACGCTGCGCCTGCACGACAACCGCATCGACGGGGTGCGGCCGCCCGATCTCGCGGGCCTGCGCTCCCTGCGAGTGCTCGAGCTGCACGGAAACCGCATCGGCGCGCTCGACCCGGCCGCGTTCGCGACGCTCGCGAGCCTCGCCTCGCTGCGCCTCGACGGCAACGCCATCGAGGCGCTCGGCTCGACGGCGCTGCCCTTGCCCCGGCTCGTCGCGCTCAAGCTCGACGGGAACCGGCTGGCGTCGCTGCCGGCGACGTTCTTCGGCGCGGCGCGGAGCCTCCGCTCCGTCGGCCTCGCGCACAACCGGCTGCGCAGGTTCCCCGCCGGCTTGCCGGCGAGCGCCGAGACGCTGGCGCTGGAGGGCAACCAGATCCGGGCGATCCGGCGCGCCGACGTCGCGCACCTCGTCCGCCTCCGGGAGCTGAACGTCGGCGAGAACCGGTTGTCGTCCATCGAGGACGGATCGTTCTCGGAGCTGCGCGCCCTCGTGTCGCTGGAGCTGCCGAGGAACCAGCTGCGAGCGCTGCCCGCGGGGCTGCCCCCGCAGCTGCAGAAGCTTGATTTCCGCTACAACGCGGCGACGAGCGTGTCGCGCGCCGACCTGTCGGCGCTGTCCGAGTTGCGGCACCTGCTGCTGGAGAACAACAACATCAGCGCGGTGGAGACGGACGCGCTCTACGGCTGCGGCAAGCTGTCGGACGTCGCCCTGGAGCAGAACCAGCTGACCTCCATTCCCGTCAGGTGACCCCAGCCTCGGCTGCCGACACCTCTCCCAGCGGATTGCGTATCCATGCGGTGCATCATCATCGTCATCGCCATCGTTATCATCAATTTATCATCATCAATCTACTGTGATCATCAGTCATCATTGTCAATATTAATTTTCAATCTATCATCATCATCTTGAGAACATGCATTTACAGCTGTGGGCTGCAGTGAAATATGCTGCTGACATCAGCACTACTGCTGCTACCACTGGGAATTGATTTTGGGTGCAGTAATGACCAAATCACCGAGAAATGCACCCGATCTCATCAGATCTCAGAAGCTAAGCAGAGTTGAGACTGGATTGTGCTTGGATGAGTGACCACCATGTTCAGCATAGGGCAGGTGAAAGCTAAATCCAATATTGTATTTACTTTTATCCTCCAACGCCTACGATTCCTGCCTTCATCAACCCACACTGACCAACGTGATAAAGTATGATCAAAGATTTCCTGCCATCCACCCAGTGGGCAGGCGCTCATCCAACGGTGGATGGACAAATTGAAGCTATAATGGGCGTCCTAATGGGCACATCATACCCACGTATGGGATTAAGGGCCGATGCTGTTGGGGTAAGGGATGTAGTGAGGCGACAGGTTAATTGCAGTGCTATAATCTGTGGCAGTATTTTGCATTGCATGGCCAGTTGTGAAAATAAACCCACAGCAAAAAGAGTGAGACCAAAAATGCTTGTTTAGAAGGGACTATTCTTTAAATATTCCTTGCTGAAGGTTAAATATAATAATAATGAAAAATCACCTGGTTGCATGTGATCATTTATGAAGCAACAATTCTCTGAAATACATTTTCTCAATTTCTTATTTAGCCAAGTGAAATCCCACAAACATGAATTATTTCCTGTGACAAAAAAATATTGGGGGCAAAAAAATAGGCTATTTGTGTAATTGAGCTGAAAGTGATGTTTACATTTAGAACGTGAGATTTGGTACTGCGACAGCGTTCCCTGCTTTTTCGAATGCCATCTCCCGGATTTCTAACTGTAAACCAAATAGAAAAGTGGCCTTGGAGCGAAATAGTATGCCCCATGTGTTGTCATACAAGTTATGATTGGGGCCAGGGTCAAGATTTGGGGTCAGTCATGTGTAAAGTGGCCAATAATTGGATGGCTTGAGAAAGCATGTTACGACCATTTAGCTCGCAGGCTATTAGTCACGAGGCTAGTATGCGCAGAAGGTTAATAGGCTGTAAAAAAAGGTCAAGGTGCAGCACTGAAATTGCTTGATCACGCCGCTGTTGGTGGAAGAGCTTCCACAAAGGGCAACTTGGCTTACTCTACCATGGTGGCCCCGATGTCCTGGAAGAGATGGGAGTATTCACATTTGTTTGTACGTACGTTGAACTTCATTCGCACCGTATGTAGCCAAACGTGCTAATTGGAGGTGCGGTGGAAGGACAACACTTTTACCCCATCACACGCTGCCTGCCGATTGGCTGTGGTGTACTCAATGATACTGCTGAGCAGATAAAGGCAGGCGGCAGTGGGGGAGGTGGGCGGTTGTGGCATTTAATAAACTCGGAACCTTTGTTTTGTGGCAGTGACCTCTGGACATCAAATTATTAGGTTTTTTCGGTAAAGTCACGTAGGTCAAAAATTAAAATTAATAAAAGTAAAATAAAAATCAAATAAAAATCACGACGTTTCGGATGCAACACAAGCTTCCGTCTTCAGATGGAACCGTCACAGCACGATAGCTGTATCACTTGTATCACTTGATACAGCTATCGTGCTGTGACGGTTCCACCTGAAGACGGAAGCTTGTGTTGCCTCCGAAACGTCATGATTTATTTTTTATTTTTATTTTATTTTACTTTTATTAATTTAAATTTTTTACCTACGTGACTTTACCGAAAAAACCTAAGAATATGAATTCTTGCAGTCACGAACGCTTCCAATCTAGAATCTAGACATCAAGTCCAGCGGGCTAGACCATCGTGCCACGGCAGCGTTGGCATTGCTGAAAAAACTCTGGTGCCATCAATTTGCCTGCTGCGGGAAATCGATCTCCCTGGGATAGCGCAGCAACAGTAGCACGTGAATCAAATTGCGATGTGCATAGATGTTTCAATAATGCATGGCCGCTGTTATGGCTCCTGTGATCAAATTGACTCACTTCACCACCGTATGTGACGTATCCAATTACTATATGGCTTAACACAAATCAATTTGGCCCAAAGCTACAACGCCTAAAAAAGCTGTTTGTACCATTAGATTACAAGTGCGTTTTGCCAGCACTTCTAAGCCCATCAAGTCAACGAGGAATAAAAATGTACGCGTACGCGCGGTGGATTCTGTAATGCGTGCGTCAGTCCTGGTGTTTTCATTTATTTTAAATGAACAAAAGTAATGAAGTCCACGTGCAATTATCACATTGGGTGCGTAGGCGTGTGCAGGGTGTGCACCATCATCGCATTTGGCCAAGAAGACTTCCATCATTAGTTTTTTTTTTCGCCAAGGTTTTCGGTATAGCCCTTAAAAACAACTTGCCCGTTTTTTTTCCAAAAGCAAATCCCTAAATATCAAATCAACACGACGCTAAATATTTCATTCGCAAAGGATTATCTTTACGCGAGTTATCAGGAGCCCCTGTTGGAGATGGATCGAGCTAAGCGCTAAGGCATAAGCACTTTAAAAACTCGCCAAAGAGCTTTAATAGCTACCCCTTTTGCAGAAAAGAGAGTTGGGCAATGCATCATAACTAGTTGTGAAAATTCCACATTCTCATGACGGGAGGAGTCTGTAAACACGTGACAACCGCCGTTTTTGTAGTGGATGTTGTTGTAACGTTCTTACCCACCCCGACTGGACATCTGTGAAAAAGAGCTTTATAGCTTATCTGATTCCTCCCGCAGTATAAATAAATAATTCTAATTTCCGATTCTGACTTCCCGCAAAGTGGTGCCTAGTTTAACCACCTTTGAGGTATGATGAGCCGGGTACACCCCTAACCCCCCTTCTGCATGCGTACCACACATTCTAACCATTGCACCGCCCAGTAGCGAGTGAAAACGTAAAATAAATTTGCAACTGAAAATTCTAACAGTGTCTTTCTAGCACATGCATTCCGAGGATGCAAACCACACAGCCTGTATGACCCCCCCCCCCGCCCCAAGCCGTAGTCTTTATTCATGAGACGCAAAGACTTATAGAGTGGACGTCGCTGCACGGCCACAGTATACTGTGCACGGGTGACATTACAGTCGCATCTTCGGAGTGCCGCAAGTGGTGCGCCCGATCATAACTTCAAAGTCTCTTTTGTTGTTGTCACGAACAAAGCTCTCGGCTCACGTCAGCACTCTGGGGTTACGTGGTGGGCAGCAGAGGATAGCGCGGAAAAATCCACTGTTGTCCCGTACTTCTATGCTCCCACGTCTGTGTTGCCCGCCTTCAACCGTCACAGGCCAGCGTAGTGGTCAAATCACCCCCCGAGACCTGCACAGCACAGGGAGGGATTGACAAAAGGGGCTGTATAATTACATATAAACTCATGACAGCCCACAACACACATCCACCAAGTTACCTCTTTTTCCACTGCACAACCAAGCTGTGCTGGAGCCGGACTGAGGCAGCCCGGTGTGGCTCAGGAGGCACCAGATTATTTTTGTTTCCAAAGCAGAACCAGAGGTGTGCTGCTGACATCACATTGCAATGTCAAAACAATGATTAATCGCACGCCCGAGCCTTGCTTGGGCCTCGATCCAAATTCAGGACATCTGTGAAAGAGAGCTGCATAGCTCATCGGATTCCTGCAGTGGAAATACATATTCCGATTCTTAGATTCAGGTGTCTTGCGAGTTCATTGTTTCTCGGTTCAGTTCTGGTGAACCACTTGTGTCGTGAGGGCTGCATGCCGGCTCAGCTCATCCGTGCCAGTGGCATTGCCTGTCAACCCCTTATCGGTGCCTACCTTCTACCTTATTACAGACCAATTCAGACATTATTGGTCACCCTGTGCCCTTATAAATCTCAACGTTCATCCTACAAAGTCCCATCACAAGGGAGAAACACAAACAAATAGACACCGTTTTTTGTTCTTTCCTGTATTGAAACAGTTGTATGCCGTATGGACCTTACAACTCAATTTCCCTGTACACTAATACGGAGTAAACCGCATGGGTTGACAGGTAAGCAGTGACAAAGTGGGGTGCGGGGGGGGGGGTATAAGCGCTACGTTATTTCTTGCGCCAACGCGCTTATAAACCCCACTCCACCCCGACCGAATTGGTGACCGTCTCCTCTCGGGCGCGCCGGACTTCACCCAACCCCCGCAGGCTGCCCGAGTCGGTGACCCGCCTTGACCTGAAGGGCAACTCCATCGCGAGCGTGCGCGCCTCCGAGCTGGCGCCGCTGCACCGCCTGCGCGTGCTCAACCTACGCGACAACCGCCTCTCGACGCTGCCCGCCGCCGCGCTCACGCCGGCGCTCAACCTGCGGCGCGTCTACCTCGACGGCAACCCGTGGCGCTGCGACTGCGCTCTCGCCGAGACGCGTCGCGCCCTCGTGCGCCGCCGCCGCGCCGAGGTGCGCGCCGGCGTCTGCCGGTCCCCGCCGGCGCAGGCTGGACGCAGCTGGCTCGACAGGGCGGCGGTGGCAGCGGCGGCGGAGGTGGGGGCACCCGGTGGGGCACCTGGTTGCGACGGCGGCGAAGAGGGCGGCGATGCGGAGGACGAGCAGTCGGCGGGGGCGCAAGACGGCGAGTACTACTACGACTACGACAACACGGACGAGTACTGAGGGGAGGCGCGGACACTCCGGGGGGTGGGGAGGGAGTTCGCTACCTCGTCCTGTTTCGCGAGATCGTTCATCTATATGAGGTGGCCATCTTGGGGAAAAGTCATCTTCTAGGTTCTTTCGGTAAAGTCACGTAGAATGGAAATAATAAAACAACAAAAATAAAACATAATTAAACAATTCTCACGACGTTTCGGCCACAACGCAAGCAGCCGTCCTCAGGTGAAGAACAGGTCTGTCGAGAAGACAGAGTCTGAATGACACACCCCAGGCTTGGAGCGTCTATTTAAGCTGTGACTTTACCGAAAGAACCAAGAAGATGAATCCCTGCAGTCACGAAAGCTTTAAATCGAAATTGGGGAAAAGTGTTAAGTCTTCCCGGGGCATTAAACATTTAACAATCGCGGTTTTTGTTGTATTCGTTGTGTGACAATACAACACTCAAGATAATCAGTTTCTGGTAATGTGAGACGTTCTTCTACCAATGATATGTCCCAGTTTTTTTTGACCTAAGAGGTGGCAAACCTCGCGTCCAACACTCCTGTGCGTTACGGCGATTATAGTCAGGGCATAATTCTAGCCATGGTCTTGTCCGAGGCGATGGCCTGGAAAATACTTCTGTGCCCAGGCAGAGCACATTCATCACAGCTCTGGCTGTGGCTACCCTACGGTCCGGTTTCTATGCCTATTCCAGTCAGTAGACCGGCGACCCGGAATGCACAGTGAGAAATGAAGCCCTGATAATTGTTTTTTTACCTTTCTATCTGGCAACAAAACTGACACCTTTTTTTACAAGGAGTCATAGACCACAATACCTGCAGCCATAATGCAAACAAAAAACATAACTCTGATAATATATGCACTGTCCTTGAAGTTGATTGGTCCACACCCGAGACAGCTTTCCTTAGAGCCTAGTCTCACATGGGTTGGACCAGGTGACGCCAAAAGGCACACAACTCAAAGACAATGCACCATCAGAGTATGAGAGATCGGGGAAGCATTTACACCATTGGAACCTCATTTGCCAGTAAAAAATATGATTGGTTTTTTACCCTTCTATCTGGCAACAAAACTGACACCTTATTATCAGAGTTATGTTTTTTGTTTGCATTATGGCTGCAGATATTGTGGTCTATGTAAACATGACTCATTGTAAAAAAAGGTGTCAGTTTTGTTGCCAGATAGAAGGGTATAAAAACCAATTATCATATTTTTTACTGGCAAATGAGGTTCCAATGGTGTAAATTAAGTCCCTGTTTATAGCGGTGGGCGCCTGAATATTGGGCAGTGTTCATTTTTTGGCCGACTTTATTGTGGGATCCAGAGGTTTTTTTGTATTAAAACACAAGGGGGCATACGAAGCTTTGCTAGCATCTGAGGGCCATTGTTGCCAAAGTTAGGAATAGTGAAACGTATGTGGATTGTTTTACAAATTAACACGGTGGGCACGCCGAATGTCAATGTTTAATCAAGCGGGGTGCCGGTAATTTTAGCTCAATTGGTTGCTGGGTTGATAATGTGCCTGCTGGGCCAAATAATTATTTGGCTTGATAATTGTCTGCGGGTGACTGAGCGCTCATCTGCGGATCTCAGACCAAATGTGCTTATATATTGAAGGTAGTTAGTAATTTTACACACGAAGCATTAATTATATTTCTGCAGTATTTTCTACGGTTGTTTTGTTTATACTAATAAACTTACGTTTTTACGTTAGTTAAGGGCATGTAACTCATCGCAGATTAGTACATGTTTTATTTAGCCTTAGTTAAACAAAATATCAGTAGTTATTTACCAATGCATACGTGAAGTACTTTGGCTGTTAGTGGTAAAGTTGACTTTGCCTTTTCGAAAATATCATCATTTGTAGAAGCATAATTGATCTTTCTACGATTTCTGTAAAGTTTGTATTTTTCATTAATAAAAGGAATCAAACGGAGAAAAAAAATAGTCTGTCTTTCAAACACCACCTGCGCTTTTGGTTTGCAACCAGGCTTCCTTTGTGCCATAAAACCCACGGTGTTTTAATCACACGGGGGAGGTCAAACCATTTTTGCTAATATAAATTGTAAAAAGCCTGCCTGCATGTCTAATGAGCTGAACGATAGATAAGCGGTGTAAGTTAAACAAAACGAGCCTTGCTTGTCACCCAGGGAAACGCACGGCCGCTCCTGGGAGATAACTCCCCGTCTGACGTCTGAGCAGCAAGAATATCGGCACTGGGCGCACACGACGGATGGGTAATGAGGGCAGGTTGGCATCATGAGGGGCAGCAACAAGAGAGCAAGATCTGCCACAATCACAACAAACAGCTGTTGATGAGCAGTGTCACGGAGCTGGGCTGCAATCAGCAGGAGTTAAACTGCTGAAGTAGTTCTAGATTTGAAGCTTTCGTGACTGCAAGGATTCATATTCTTAGGTTTTTTGGGTAAAGTCACGTAGGTTAAAAAATTCAAAATTAATAAAAGTAAATAAAAATAAAGTAATAAAATAAAATAAAATCACGACGTTTCGGATACAGCTATCGTGCTGTGACGGTTCCCCTTGAAGACGGAAGATTGTGTTGCCTCCGAAACGTCGTGATTTTTATTTTATTTTTTATTTTACTTTAATTAATTTTTATTTTCTTTACCTACGTGACTTTACCGAAAAAAACCTAAGAATATGCTGAAGTAGTGTTTACTAAGGTGCCATTTGGACGATTTTTACTTTAAGAGTTGTCTGGCCAATTCACCACTCGCTGGCCACAATGCTGGTGACTACAGATCAGGTGTCGGTGAAGAGATATTACAGAGAGGGCTGCTGGGAAGACGGAACGTCTTTGGCCCAGCCAGGTCAGAACCAGAGGTCACAAACGGGTTTTGATTCCTTACCCATATCCGTACCAGGCCTGCACCAGGGTCGCAAACGGGTACCCGTACCCGGCCGGGTATGGTTAGCCTTTAATCGGGTAGGGTACGGGTATCGGGTACCCGATTGCGACCTCTGGTCAGAACCAAACCGTGAAACCTTGGAGCCACGAGACATCTGAATCTGACTGCCGGGGTGAAGCACGGCCACAGGCGGGGTTAACGATCTCGCCGTACATGTCGCGCCACATGCGTTCCTCGCATTTGACGCCGGCGATACGGCTCGGCTTCTGCAGAGGGAAAACAAACCCGGCGTCTCATCACGAGGTGCGCCGGGATGACCCTGGCGTGGTTGTGCAGCGAAAAAGCGATAACGGGAGCCTTGCTCTGAACCAGTAAAAAAAAAAATCGCACTTTCACCGTGAACTTTTATTTGGCAAGGTTTAGACAGGGCAGCTGAAGCTGCATGTAGGTTGATACTATGGCGAGCCTGTTATTAATATCCACAATGGCTATACAAATATATACTGCACGTGTGTGTGTGTTTAGTGGCTCAAGGGGACTATAAATACATTATAACTTATTTACAAAAAGATCGTTGTCACATAGAGCCAGTCAATGTCATCCCACTTGCAAATGCCTTTAGTTTAACGCGACCGAGAGCCGTTCGAGATCCCTTTAATTCACTTCTCTGGAGAGCTGGGTATACACACCGATGCTGAGAGGTGGCTGGGTCGCTTGGCCCACTGGCACTACAGAGCCAGACCCCTGAACCGGCACCACTGACATCCTGGGTTTGAATCTGGCTTTCAGCCATAGGCGGAGTTTGAATTTTCTATTCGGGGCGAGGGGCAGGGGTTAACTTTGTCTTTCACAATAGGAATCGCGGGTGTAAATAATAAAAAATATTCTAAACTACTCAAAATAATAAAGATGTCAAGTTTTGGGGGGTTATTGCCCCCCTCCCCTCCCCCGCAAACTTCTGCCCATGCTTTCAGCCACCTGTGAATAAAACCGGCTTCTTGAAATATCTCTTTCGCCGAATTCCTCTTTTCCATTTCCACGAATTTCACATTTAGATTGTGTGAATGAGGGACCGGAACAATTCGCAGGGCATGCAAAATGCGTGCACTTAGCGTGCTTAAAGAGGTATATTGAAGCGGCTTCTTAAGTAGTCCTGCCACTTCATTTTCTAGGGGCCGTTCTCCAACACAGGATGATGCACTGAAAGGTCATCACACGGCACGATGTTGTCAGCTCAACCATTGCATATTTGGGGGTGGGGGGGGGGGGAGCCCCATAACTGTTGAAATGTAACATTTCAGCTATTTGGCTGTACAATATTTATCCTCACCCCAATATTTATCATCACTCTATGACAGTTAACAAGTTCGGGGATTCTTAATATTCAATCGGATTTCCAATGGCCGGCGTGCGCGACCATGAAAACCGATTCTACGAGAGGCTTAGAATATAAGTCGCCAAACCAATTCCACCGCGGACCGAACGCGTGTGTCCGTCCAAATTCCGCAGCGCCCATGACCGCCAGCGAAGTGGCCGAATTTCCACGGAGTTCGCCGTGCAAAAATCCTATTCCATCAAGCCGCACTCAGGAAAATGTAGGTCGATTCCACGCAAGGGAGTGCATTAACATGCAACGTGGCATCCTCTGCGCAGGCTCGATAACGTCTGACTGGGCCCCACGGGTTAATTTCCATTCATATAATACCAGCAGGGGGTGGCCGGGTGGCACAGAAAGTCAGCGCTGACTTTGTCCCACTGAGATCCAGACCGTGCAAAAACTCGTGAACGACTGCCCAGTCAGATCATTCAACGGCGATCTGAAACACATCCACGTCGCTGCTCTTGAAGAAATCCAATAGATATTAAATCTCGACATTGATGTATAATCTGAAAATGGGGTTTCCCCTTTATTCTGGTAACAAAACAGGTGTTCATACTCTTTGATGCTTTGGGTAAAGTCACGTAGTTAGAAATAAAATAAAATAAAAAATTATATATTTTTTTATTTTATTTTATTTCTAACTACGTGACTTTACCGAAAGAACCAAAGAGTATGGATTGCTGCAGTCACGAAAGCTTCAAATCAAAATAGGTGTTAAAATGTTAAAACACCAAACTGAAACCTTTTACAAGGAATCATGTCTGCATTAACCACAATACTTGTGGTCAGAATGCAAACAAAAAACATACTCTGATAATATATGCATTGTCTTTGAAACTGATTGGTCCACACCAGAGACACCTTTCCTTGGAGCCTAGTCTGAAAAGGAGTTATACCTTTTGGCGTCCTCTGGTCTAACACCAAGGAAAGCTGTCTCTGGTGTGGACCAATCAGTTTAAAAGACAATGCATATATTATCAGAGTATGTTTTTTGTTTGCATCCTGACCACAAGCATTGTGGTTAATGCAGACATGATTCCTTGTAAAAGGTTTCCGTTTGGTGTTTTAACATCTTAACATCTGTTTTGTTGCAAGAAAAAAGGGCAAGACCTATTCTGATATTTTGGTACTGGCAAAGGAGGTCCCATGATAATGTGTAATCTGTTGCAATCCCCAGAAATACTATTCGAAAGAAGACTGAGATCTAGGGTTCGAATATAAATATCAACCACCTGTGATTCAACCGGGTCCTCAAGCCCAGTGTGTATTAACAGCCTCATCCCTACACCACTGATTGCACAGGACACATCACGTTAATTTAGGGCTCCTTGTTAATTTGCCTACGGAGCAGCAGTATTGAGTTCAAACTATTTGATTTGACTGCCATGAGACAAACATTTCCCCGGGGCAGGGCATGCGGAAAAGTGCAGTGCCCCTAGTGTGTGGCTAAAAAAAGCCACTTTCAAGGGATCTCAGAAGAAGTTCTGTGAAATCTGCTTCCACGGAGCCACGCTCAGACACGTGGAGTCGCACTGCTCTTCCACAGCTCCAAACGGACCTCGTCTGATGACACGACGCCAGATTGCACAACTGGCTGGGCACTCCGATCCTTTGTCGGTGAAGCGTAATCGTAATGGTATCTGTATAGCAGCTCCCCAATGCGCTTCCGACTTGGGACCATTGATTGTTTGGCATCATGTGCATCGTTTTTCGCTCCAATTCAGTTCCTGAATTGGCATCCATTGTCTCCAGAAGAGCGAACAGCACAGCGGGTAGCACGCGCAACAAATACAAATCAAAGGGCTAAACTACGACCGCTTACTATTCTGCTCGACCGACAGAGGCTACTACAGCGTCCACACCACTCGCAGCAGTCGACGCCTCCGCAGCAGAGAGGCTGCCATCTCGATCTCGCACGGGGCAGCTGGACCGCTTCCAGTCACCGCTTGATCTCCCACTCGACGTGCCGACCCCGACGCAGCCCAGTGCGTGGGCTGCGTCAACCTCCCACCGTCCGTCTGACGATGGCCTCGCGGCGATAGTTGGCGCCGACGTGTCTGAGGCCGCGTAGTGAGCCATGAAGTCAAACCAGCAGATTCGAATGCACCATTGGCATCAAGTGGGGGCGCAGGACGGACAACTGCTGACACCTACACAGTAGGCATTGACATATCCGGCGTCAGTCGCCGCTAATCCGACAGGGAGGGCCTCACGTCGGCCGTCCCCGACGCGGCGTCCACCCGCGACTCGGAGATCAGGTTGGGGATGTCGAAGCTGTCCGAGTGGTAGATGATGGAGGTGGCGGTGGCGGCGGCGGTGGTGGTGGTGGTGGTGGCCATGGCGATGGCGGCAGGGCACTCCTGCTCATCGTGGAGGAGCGCGGCGCGGCCGGGCCTCAGCTCGCGGTGAATGCATGTCATCGCCGCCATCTCCTCCTCCTCATCAGCGTCGTCGTCGCCCCGCCTGTTGCCGAAACCCGGCTCGATCACGGAGCTCATTTCACCGGCCTTGGGACTCCGCGGCAGGGCGTGCGCTCTCCGCCGCACGCTCGGTCCCCTCGAGCTGCAACGACGCCGGTCACTGGATTTTCCAAGAACAAGTCACAGGGATGCTGCTCTCTCGCCTCTCAATGCACAGCTGTCACACAGATAAAGCCCCGCAATTACCTGTTCGCACCGCTGCTGGCAGAAGGGTCTCCCATCAGAGGGTGCGGGGAGGGGATGGACAAGAAACTAAACACAAACTGCTTTTTATGTTTAGTTTGTTGTCCTTCCCCTCCCCCTTCACTTACCTCCGATTAGAACGGTTGGCTACGTACGGTGCTAAAGAAGTTCAACGCACGTACAGAAAGGGAAGATCTAGAGAGTGTCTCAAGAGGCTGTTTCATGAGCTACAATGTCAGCCACTTGGCTTCCACAAACAAGTTCGGGGAGGTAGCTGATCTCAGCCCTCCCAAAAGCAACACTGCTGCCACATCGTTAAAATGTCCGGCTCAATATCTCAGGGTGCTGTTAGCAAGGGGTGTACTAGACGTGGCGTGCCGGTGATTTTTTTTTCTGTAGCTCAGCCCGAGACAGCTCCGCGTGAGTTGTATTTATTTTGTATTTATTTTGTAAAGCTTCAAACTCACGTTCGTCAGACTGGGTACAGCCGTAGTTGTGTGCCCAAAATGTCGGGGGCCATTTGTTTTTGGCTACGTCTTCATTTAAGTGGAGGTAAAGATGGGGACTGAATTCACGGCGAATGGAGTTATTGATTTAGAATGGTGCGAGAGCGAGCGAGCCATTGACTGGCTCCCTGAAGTGTGTGCAGGAGTCTCACATTTGAAGGTGACCCCGATGACGATAATGGCGATGAGTTATACTCGTGTGGCTGATGATGGTGATGCCAAATAATAATTATAATACGATATAAAGAACAAGCACACCAATAAAAACTAAATAATGATGGAGACAACTATAGTAATATTGACAGTGATGATAATCTGAAGACAACGGTCAACATCGGTGTGATGATGATTGTAGTGAATATGATGATTGTCATGGAGGTGATGGAAATGTGGATGGTGATGACAAGCAGCGGTGCACCACGTGGGGTGTTGGGGGGAGGGGGGGGGGAAGGAGGGTGGAGGGGCGGGGTGGGGATGAGGGGAGGGGCGGGTTGGGGGGAGGGGTGGGGGGAAGGGGCGGAGTGAGGGGAGGGGTGGGGGAAAGGAGGGGGAAGGGGCTGGGTGGGGGGAGGGGTAGCGGAGTGAGGGGAGGGGTGGGGTGGGGGAAAGGAGGGTGGAGGGGCGGGGTGAGGGGAGAGGGGCGGGGTGGGGGGAGGGGCAGGGCGGGGTGAGGGGAGGGGCGGGGCGGGTGGGGGGACCATTTCTCCCACCCCCCCAGAAATGTTTAAACAGCCATTTTTTAATCATCAATTTTTTTTGTATTTACATTAAAACTTGGAAATAAGTAAATATTAAATACAATTATAAATGTATGCATATTTAAATTAGCCTTATATTATACAGTGAAAAGCTAAAGTTAAATGCAATAAATTTCGTTTCCCCAAAAAACTATTGACTTGTTTGTATTACAATTTACCTGCACCGAATATTTGATCTGGGTGCGCCACTGGTGACATCACGCACGCACCTACAGTAAAGTTGGCTCTCAAGGTCAAAACGTTCTCATCACGAATATCTGCTGCTGAGAAGGAATCGTGTTCGCTCAATCGCGTCACGAATCATCACACCTGCTGGTCGCCAGATGATACAGACAATGACGCAAATTTTCTAACGAAAAAATCCGATCTTGACCAGTTTTATATTATTTATTTATGTCCCGTTTGCGCTTTTGGTGTCTTGTCAGGAGACAAATAACGCATTTGCATACCTGTCAACCCCTTATCAGTGCCTATCTTATTACAGACCAATTCAGACCTTATTGGTCACCGCGCGGCGTTATAAATCTCAACGTTCATCCTACAAAGTTCCATCGCAAGGGAGAAACACAGACTATTATTGTTGCTGCCCGTATTGAAACCGCTGTATGCCGCATGGACCTGAAAACTCAATTTCCCTGCACAAGAATACGGAGTAAACCGTGAAGGGGTTGACAGGTGAGCAATTGGAGCTCCACGCAGAGCAAGGTTCTCTTCACGAGAAAGAGAGCAGCCCAAGGAAATGAATATTATTGAGCTATTTCTAAGAACCCTTGAAGTGACCTCTGGTTTCACGCAGCAGGGAGCGGCGCATTGCTACCGAGCCCCAAAAGTTTCAACGTTTCCCGCAAACATCGCCTCCCGCGAGGCGAGCATTCGTGTCGGTGACAGGGTGGACTCACTCTGTCGTCCCGGACCGAACCAGCATGACGAGGATGAAGAACATGAAGAGGACAAACGAGGCGATGCCGACCCAGAATCCGATGACGATGGAGTCTGCAGCAGAGCCAGGGGCAGAAGGCAGCGGTGGCGTTAGGCTGATAGACGTCAAGCACAGGGCATTCAGCGTGACATCGCATCTCTCGTGGGCCAACGCGTTATTAGTCAGCGGTCGCGTTCGCAGAGGTCAGGTCACTAGATTTGAAGCTTTCGTGACTGCAAGGAGTCATACTCTTTGGTGTTTTCGGTAAAGTCACGTAGGTAAAAAATCAAATAAATGAAAAATAAATGAAAACAACTAGATTTAATTTTCGATTTAAAGCTTTCGTGACTGCAGGGATTCATCTTCTTGGTTCTTTCGGTAAAGTCACGTACAAGGGAAATAAAAAAAATAAACATAATAAAATACAATTCTCAATTTTCAATTGTATTTTATTATGTTTTATTTGTATTATTTAATAAAATACAATTGAGAATTGTGTTGAATGATGTTTATTATTTATTATTGTATTATTTCCCTTCTACGTGACTTTACCGAAAGAACCAAGAACTAGATTTAATTTAGTTGTTTCATTGATTTTTCATTTATTTTATTAGATTTTTTACCTACGTGACTTTACCGAAAAAAACACAGAATAGGTTAGGTCACTTTCTCCATCTTCCGTTGTTCTGGTGGCGTTTTAAAAAATAAATCGCACAATCCAGCGAGCTCCCGCTAATGTCCGGTTATGAAATCCGCGCGTGAATCGTCCATCACATTCGCCGCCTCTCTACCCGCAGATCCACGGCGCGAGGCCGGCACACGCGTCGTTTTGCTCCGTTGCCAATGACACATCAAACTTAACTTTGAGCGCGGAGTCATGCGGGCGACTGTTTGGTGTTTTTAATTGCTCGCCACGGCCCGAGCAACATCCAAGAGGCACTGGCAATCTGTGTGATCGTTTAAATCACTTGATACAGCAAATCTGGCTGTGACGGTCCCACCTGATGACGGAGACTTGTGTTGCCTCCGAAACGTCGTGATTTTTTTGTTATTTTATTTTTTTATTAATTTAATTTAATTTTTTACCTACGTGACTTTACCGAAAAACTAAGAGTATTTGAAAGCTAATTTCTCCAGAACTGCTTTTATGTGTTTCATTTGTTGTCCTTCCCCCGCACCTTCGATTATCACTGTTGGCTACATACGGTGTGAAAGAAGTTCAACATGCACACATACGTACTTTCTGACACACGTGCCGGAAAGCAAGCGACTGTACAGAGGAGATGTCTCGTTGCATCTCCACTCGGCACAAGTGTGACGCCCTCTGAGCTGACCTGCGGCCTCTGACCCCACACCCGATCAATGAGCATTGATCTTCTTGGTTCTTTCGGTAAAGTCACGTAGAAGGAAAGTAATAAAGTAATAAAAATAATAATAAAATACTTATTATTTATTAAATAATAAAAATAAAACATTCATAAATAATTATTATTTACTTTATTATGTTTTATTTTTATTATTTTATTACTTCCCTTCTACGTGACTTTACCGAAAGAACCAAGAAGATGAATCCCTGCAGTCACGAAAGCTTTAAATAGAAATTCAATGAGCATTGCTTTAGGTACTAGTTTTAAACCTTTCACTGTTTATACACCCACACTGTTGGAAAACGAATTATTTGGCGATGCTGCTGTGTTGGCAATGCCGCAACAAGCACAAATGACAAACAACAACACAACAACACGAAACATAAATTCAACACAATCGCCAGTAGCACCGCGCGTGGCCTCAACAATCACGATACGTAATCGGCCAACTTTTGGGCAACGGCTCTCTTATTCACGGCACACCGCACAGCCTTTATAGACAGCCAGACGGGTCCTTCCCGACGCCTTGACACGTCTACGCTCATCAGGCTGCCGCAGACGACGGCGCGGTGCTGCGTAAAGGGCGCGCTCGCTCGTTCATTCACCGCTTGATGTGGTCATTAATGCGGTCTCCCCTTTCTGTTTGTCGTTGTTGCCTGAGCGATGCCTGAGCGATGCCCGCAGGGGATGGGGCAACAGCGGCGGCGGTGGCGCGGGGGGCTGGGAAGAGGCTTGAGGAACTGCATGGCAAGAGATGCCCGAGGCAAATGGTAACACTTGGAGATGATGGGGATGAATTTCGATTGAAAGCTTTCGTGAATGCAGGGATTCATCTTCTTGGTTCTTTCGGTAAAGTCACGTAGAAGGGAAATAATAAAATAATAAAAATAAAACATAATAAAATAATTCTCACGACGTTTCGGCCACAACGCAAGCAGCCGTCCTCAGGTGAAGAACAGGTCTGTCAGACGCTGTCTTTCCGACAGACCTGTTCTTCACCTGAGGACGGCTGCTTGCGTTGTGGCCGAAACGTCGTGACAAATATTTTAGTATGTTTAATTTTTATTATTTTATTATTTCCCTTCTACGTGACTTTACCGAAAGAACCAAGGAGATGATGGGGGTTGGTTTGTTCTCTCCTGCAGCCCCACGGTGTCATGACGGAGGTGAACGGAGTTGCGGTGGCCTGCTCCTCCACCGTCAAACTCGAGCAAGTGGTGGAAAGTCTTCAACATTTCCCACCCCCCTCCTCGGCGGGATATAGCCTCTCCATGGGACATCCGTTGCTAATTTGCACATCACAGTCACAACAATTCCTGAGAGAGTGCTGGAAATGACACATTCCTACGGCAAGTCTATGCACTGGAAAATTGACCTCCCAGGAAGTGGTAATTCATTGTATCCATGCACGGGCATAATGACTTTAAACCCCTCGCCAAACCTCCTACGCATTTCACAAGTAGTACTAATCGCATATCTGCATTTCCCATAAATATGCTAAATTCCTCTTGATATGCAAATTATTTTGTCAAGGCGCTCTTCGCCCCTCCATCCCAGCTTAAATAGTCGCTCCAAGCCTGGGGCTTGTCATTCAGACTCTGTCTCCTCGACAGACATGTTCTCCACCTGAGGACGGCTACTTGCGTTGTGGCCGAAACGTCGTGAGAATTATTTTATTATGTTTTATTTTTATTATTTTATTACTTCCCTTCTACGTGACTTTACCGAAAGAACCAATAAGATCATTGTATCCACCCTGGGATTTGAATTCATGACCTTTTGAATCCAATCTGACAGTTGTGGGCGCTGCACCACCCAGCCTGAATTGGCGGTCCAATGCAACGCTTCATAAATGCCACCCAACAGGAATACAGAAAATCGATGGCAATTCTCGAGGAAGGAAACAGCGGCAGAGAGCAGAGGAAAGCGATGGACAGCTGGAGTGGAAGAGGCACTCGTACAGAGATGGATGACATGAAAATATCAGCAACAGATGGCATGTGATGATGACGAAAATTCCCAACAGTGGAAAACTGCTCCCAACGGTCTCAAAAAGAGGGGCGAAGAGAGGAAAAACGAGAGAGTGAGCTTCATGAATAAACGCGTTCCCCGATGCCCAGACACTCCCGTGTCACAGGATCAGCCCCCCGATCAATCGCAGCCGCTCGAAATCGATAGCGAAATGGTAACTGGGGTTTAGTGGCACTGATTGCTCTTGAACGAGGTGCACTCAACCTCATGCCTGGCAGACGTTGGCTCATTGTCGCTGCCAGGCACTTGGCAAGTGACGTTGACGCTCGCAGAAAGAAAGGAAACGCCCTCTGGGAAGGCTCCTCTTGGAAGCCACGATGTCCTTGATGCAATGAGATGAGAGGCCCACAGAGTTGTGTTATATTCTTTTCATGTAGAGAGATCGTGTTGAATATACTGTAATTACACATATATATGGCAAGATGTTAACTTCCTCGCCTGGTATACAGGAGGTTGTGAGTTCGATCGCGACCCTTACGAAGCCTGCTGTATATTTGGAGTTTGCATGTTCTCCACTGGTCGTGTGGATTTTTCTCCGGGTCCTCCGGGTTTTCCCTCCACATTCAGAATCAACATGCACTTAGAGTGTTTGGTTGCTATAAATTTCCACGCGATAAGCCACTTCGCCGAGCTATCATTTGTGGCCAGGTCGCTTCTGAAGAAGAGCTACATAGCTCAGTGGGTCTTACTTGGTATAAACATTTTTTTTTTACAGTTTATAGTTTTAGTCTAAAAATATTTTGCAGTTATACTGCATCGTTTTTACAACATGTGATGCACAGCTCCCCGATGTGTTGTCGGTTTGTACCACGTGTTGTTCAGCATGATGTCCGACGTTTCACTCCACGTGGCCAGGAGCTTCTATTCAGTTCTATTCAGTTCTAGTTAGTCTCTGAAGAAAAAATTACATTTACTTGGAAATTGGGTGCCTAGAGGAATCGCCTCACTCAATCTGCACCACCCAAAGTCTATCGGCATCATTTAATTTAATTGCACAGCAACATTTTCACATAACACCTTGACAAGGGGTCATCAAATTGCCTCGTCTGTCGTTTTTTATTTTCTTATTATCATAACCTTGCTTCATCAGAAACACAAACCACAGCGAGGAAGGCGACTTTAACTGTGCTTGACATTAATCTTAACTGCTCCATTTAGGGTTAAAATAACTAAGCAGATATTTTTAAGGCAGTACTATTCAATTATATATACACTAGCTGTACTACCCGGCTTCACCCGGGACTTGTATCCACCACGGCCGGCCGCCTTTGTCTCCCCAGTGGCGATGTTAATACGCCACACCAGTTACTCGTTTGAGGCTGAGTCGACCTAGGGGAGGTTCAAATAATCTTGACCGGTGGTGGCCATGAGCGGGAATCGAACTGGGTTCGCCGGGTTGGTAGCGCAGCGTAGCGTTAACCACTACACCCACCGCTCCTCACACACACAGACGCACAGACACACACACAGACACACGCAGAAACACACAGACAGATACAGACAGACACACAGACACACAGACAGCACGCTAACCACTACACTACCGCTCCCCACACACCACACACGCACACACACAGACACACACATAGAACACACACACAGACACACAGACAGACACACACACACAGACAGCACGCTAACCACTACACTACCGCTCCCCACACACCACACACGCA